TGGATTGGATTGGATTGATTGATTCATTGATTGGTTGGTTGGTTGATTCATTCATTCATTCATTCATTCATTAATTAATTCATTGATTCATTGGATTGATTGATTCATTGGATTGATTGACTCATTGGACTCATTGATTGATTGATTGGTTGGTTGGTGGTTGCTTGCTTGGTTGCTTGGTTGGTTGCTTGGTTGCTTGGTTGCTTGCTTGCTTGCTTGATTGATTGATTGATTGATTGAGTTGATTGGTTGATTGGTTGATTGGTTTGTTTGGTTGATTGATTCATTGATTGATTGATTGATTGATTGATGGATGGATCGATCGATCGATCGATTGATTGATTGATTGTTTCGCTTGGATTGATTGATTGCTTGTTTCATTGATTCATTGATTCATTGATTGATTCATTCATTGGATTGATTGATTCATTGGATTGATTGATTCATTGTATTGATTGATTGATTGATTGATTGATTGATTGATTGATTGGTTGGTTGGTTGGTTGGTTGGTTGGTTGGTTGGTTGGTTGGTTTGTTGGTTTGTTGCTTGGTTGGTTGGATGGTTGGTTGGTTGGTTGGTTGCTGGATTGATTTATTGATTGATTGATTGATGGATTGACTGACTGACTGATTGGTTGGTTTGATTGATTGGATTGGATTGGATTGGATTGGATTGGATTGGATTGGATTGGATTGGATTGTTTGATTGGTTGGTTGGTTGGTTGGTTGATTGTTTGATTCACTGCATCGTTCAGTCTATTGCTTGGTAGGCTGGTTTTTTGCGACGCCTGGCCGTGTCCAACATTACTGGACACACCTTGCTGGCCAACTTTGTTGAAGGGTTTCCTGCAAGTGTACGTAGGCTTCCTATTGGAGGTATGCCAACCTTGCAACCTTGTCTCGCAACAAGTGAAGGTTTTCTCCTCTCCTGTTCATGTTCGACCGACTGTTCCCCTCGCCATCAACAAGATGGTTTTCTTCACTCCTGTGGCAAGCACAAAAACCCCGGGAGGTAACCTGGGCCATACGTACACATTCTTTGGCAAATGTCCAGCTTGGGGTGGGCAACCCTGTTTCGCTTTCAAGAAAGAAAGGTTCAACCAAGCCCTTGCGAGGACCAGGAGGCTCTTGAGCATGTTTCGCTTAAGGGCGCCCCATGCCAGGCCAAGATCTAGCGGGGAGAGTATACTTTGTGCATTTTAATCATGTTTCACAGTTGCTGCTTTTGTAGGGACAAGCTGCCACTTGGACCCCGAATGCAGACCTATTTTGGCCGCTGAAACATAGCCCCAAAAGTGATGTTGATGGCTCCAGGCAAGCCTTAGATTGGGCTGATAGCGGCATATCTGCCCTGAAAGGGGCAAGCTTGACACGCACCACGCCTTTCTGAAGGACAAATCAAAGCCCAGAATATCCAGTTGGCAAGAATCCCGCGGCCAAGCTTCGTTCTTCTCACCTGAGAGCTCCGTGAGGTAAGAAGCCCGGTGGGCGACCTCGATAGAAGCAGGACGGCTGGATGGTTTTCTGCAATGGGAGTACTGATTTCGAGAGGTGTTTTCTGGACGGCTGCACTGGTTCGTGGCCGGCTGTGTATATGTTGTTTTGCTTGGGGGTGCCCTTTCCAGGTTGGGCAAAAGGGATGCCACTGCTGTGTGAGCCCTTTTTTGAGACATACCGAACTAGTTGGTGATCATGGGAATTTCAACAACAAGTTGCCATGTCCTGTTTAAATTAGTTGTTTGCTTGATTAGCTCTATTCATTTTTGGCAGCCGCAAGAAGCAAAATCCCTGCTGACACACCACAGGTCAAGATGAATCAAAGCGAATTGACAACATGAAACACCGCATGAATCTACACGAGCCAAATAGTGCTCCCGTGCCCAATGCAAATCGACCTTTCATGTTCCACCATGTTTCCAGTGTTGGTTTGCATTGGCCTTGTATTTCCACGTCCTTGCGGCAAGCGAGAGTAGCAAAAACCACATTTGAAGCAAGCTTGGTTTCATGGCGGCGTTTCAAAAGTGAACAAATTTATCTCGAGACCGTAACACAAGGCAACACAGAATTTGTGAACCGCTCTTTGATGGCTTCCTTTTACACTCATTCCTTTCAAAAGGCTCGACCAAGCAGTGCTTGCGTGTCAATGTGAGTTTCGACCCATCCAACTTGCCAATATGATTTCAACACAAACACAGTAGGAGGGAGGGCCTACCCTTTTGGATGGCGCTCATCGTATCCAAGGTCTCAATCTTGCAAAGGGTTAGGAGCAAGGCCCTGGGCCGATTGTGCGAGAAAATCTGCTTGTACCCTGAGTCTCATGAGCCAAAATCACGCTTCGAACGGGCAGATGCCGCTTAATCAGTAGGGGACAGTCCCAACTAGCAGTAGGTTTGGATATCAGCTCTTTTATGGCATGGCACGATTTTGCTAGAATCTGTTGATGTTGACTCTGTGAGGAAGGCTCGACATTTACTTTCATTTGCTGTAAATGAGATGACAAAAGAAAGCCTGGGGGCTTGCTCCCCGAATTCTAATGTCAGTTGGGCACACAATGATTAAAACCACTGTGGCTGGACTCAAGTAGAGATTGTCAAAAATGCTGGACCCTCCCCCCTTCTGTGGACCCTCGTTAAAGGCGGCGGAACATAAACAGCAGGTAGCCACTCCTACTTTTGACATCAAGTTAGATGTTTTGTATGTGCCGCAGTTAAGCGGCGGTCGATTCATGCTGCCTCTTGTGGGTATTTGGTTTGTCTCAACTAAAGCGCTGGGCTTTCAAGAGTGTCAACCACAAGCCAGACCACCCTAAAAAGCCTCACATCCACTTCTGGCGCGGCGTTTTCCGGAACCCTTCGAACTGATCACTCAGACTCATGTCTTGAAAACATGAGCCATGGCTCTTTGCCCGCGGCACGGCCTGCGAGCCGTCCTTGCGGCCCCTTGAGAGGCGAGGTAACGGCCGGGCATCTCGATTTCCCCAGTTTCCAGCCTTCCGTTTTTTTGAAAACAAGGGGACCGAATCAAGTCACATCCTGTAAAAAGAGAGTGTGGCTTGCGAATGAGGGGCCTGACTTGTCCTTTTGTTGCTTCACGAGCCTTTCCCCAACAGCGGCAGCTGTGGGGTCAAACCGCCAACCCTGGGTTTGGGGCGGCACTCTGGGATCTGGGCAGGCTCCGGGGAAAAGAGGATTCGGGAAGTGGCAATGAGTAAGTTGGGGGTACTCCTTGGACTTGTGTTGAAGCCGAGAGGAACCAAGCAATTCGAGGGGTCTCCCGTTTCCCTGAGGGCTAGTGGTTTGGGCGCCATTTAGTGAGACCTTTGAGGGGCAAGCCAAAAAGGATGATACCGGGCGCAGAATTCTCCTGCTCTAGCTCCAGTTGTTCAAAGAACCGTTGGGAACCCCAAAAACGCCGCAGCCTCCAAACGCACCGCGCCAATTTGGTCTTCCTAAGTGGTGTGTTTGGGGGGATGATGCGTTTGCTTGCCCGTGGTGGATTTGCGTGCTTTGCCTGCTTGCTTGCCTGAATTTGTGTTCCTTGCTTGTTTGCAGTGAGCGCCTCGAACAATTCGGTGTTTGCAGATCTAGTCCGTCAACGCCAGTTGTCGTTGACAAACCCAGGAATTTGTATCTCCCAAGGCTTCTCCTACCCAGTGCTTCTGGCTACCACTACAGTGAACAACCAGGCTTTGTTACCTCCAGGTTTTACATGATGGATTTCCTGGTTGCCTACTATAATGTCAAGTGGAAGCGCCCGGGCTCACAGGCTGAATAGTTTGTTAGATTGAAGCTTGCTTGTTTGCCAAAGAACGCACAAGGTGTATCATCGAATATGTGCATTGGTGTACAAGTGTTGTTTGATCACCCAAAGGCTTGGAATGACTGAGACGGATCAAGCTGATTGACTTGCAAGCCCAGAACTTCCCACGAGGCCGGGTTGAAAATGGACATGGACACAAGCACGCGCTGCTCCAGCAAGTGTCACTGGTGTTTCCAAGACCGGAGTGCTGCACTCATCATGTGTTTACAAATGTCATACGCAAATACAAACAAACCACACGCAAACACTTCATGTCAATAGGCAACCAGTGCCTGCAAGAACCACCACCCACCACTAATAAGCACCAACCCTACCTACCTACCTACCTACCTACCTATCTACCTACCTACCTACCTACCTACCTCCCTATCCACCTACCTACCTACCTACCTACCTACCTACCTACCTACCTACCTACCTACCTATCTACCTATCTACCTACCTATCTACCTATCTACCTACCTACCTACCTACCTACCTACCTACCCACCCACCACCACCACTAGCATCAGCATCAGCATCATCATCATCATCATCAGCATCATCAGCATCAACATGAGCATCATCATCGTCATCCTCCTCCTCATCATCATCATCATCATCACTCCCTACACGGCACTGGCACTGGCTAGCCTCACAATCACCACCATGTCCATTACCACTCCCAGCACATCAACTACCACCACCATCATCAGCATTAGACACCCTACAGACCATGCCCTGAAGAGTTTGCGGACATTCTGAGGTTAATGATCCTTCGGGCCGAACAAGGTGTCAAACAAGTTGCTAATATGTTGTGGGTCCGGTAGGACACCCAGGCAAGGACCTCACAACCACCCCCAAAAGACTCCTCTTCCAAGAGTTGAAGCCTCTTTGGCCTGAATTGCCCCAACGCCCTGAATCGTTGGGGCGGGGTCTCAACAGCGAAGACATTCCCTCTGCGTGACAGTCTCAGTCAACCAGTTAATTAGTCAACTGAATCCCCATTACCCATCTCAACCAACACGAACCACCAAAAACCTATCAAGGGGATCAGAAAAGAAAACATTTGGTGTTAAAGGACGACACAGAATCAGCCCCCCCCCCCAAAACAAGCAACTCAGAGAGCCAGAATCATTGCCCTCCAATGATTTTATCGCAAAATAAAATCACAGCCACCCATGTAGAAAGCAAGTCGCCTCATGGCCTGCGATGCCGTTCCTTTGCGCGGCGTGCGGGTTCCGGGGGTTGACTCTTCGTCACAGCTGGGCAATGTGCGGCGTGGATGAACCGAGAATATCCCAGTTCAGTGGATGCCCTTGGAATCCCTTTGTGCATGGAGGGTTCATATTACACATGGGCAACCCAAATGGTTCAATTATTTGTCCGCTGCGCAAGGGGCGATCTGCGAGTCTACTTTTGGTTTGGGAAGGACATTGGGAGGGACCCACCTAGCGACCCTACCAACAACACGCAGGTGTGCCTGTGAGTTTCATTCGGGGACCCAACAAGGCCCACTAAAGGGTCCAACCAAATATATATATATATATATATATGCTACCCCCCCCCCCCCCCCCAATGGACCCTGGTTTTACTGCTTTTTTTGGGATGGCAATTCTAGAATCTATTGTGGGTCCCCGAAGCCTGATTTGGAGCGCGGAGTTCTCCATAATGTCCCAAGAGGATACGCTTTCCAAATAGGATTTTACTTCAACTACAATTGGAATTTTGAATATAGTTTAGTAAGGATATAGTTGTCAAACATGTGTTTATGTTCAATTACCGCTTAGATATGCAAATCCATTCCAAATAGGAGCTACATGACAATGTAAATATATATTTTCGGCTAAACTCCAACTAATCTGTAACAAAAGACGTTAGATAGGAGTTTCTTCTCAAATACAATCTAAGTGTTAAATAGGATCTAATACGAACACAATTCAATTAGCTGTTGATAATAACAACTAAATAGAGACTACTTCTCAAGTATAGTTCATATTAAATATGGCTAAACATTTAAGGGACTTCTACAAGGAAATTCAAAATACGCTTTGTGTTATTTACATTATGGCCCTTGTGTAGCATAAGAAAGGTCCGACATTGAACTTGTTAGACGGTCCAAAGGGAAATTTCCAGGGAAGAGAGGTTCAAATTCTAAGACTATCTCGAAACAGGGATTCTAGCTAAATCAGTTGTATTTAGAGTTCGATTTGCACAGGAAACAAAATTAATTATATCTCAAAAGGTGGAGGTAGTAGATGAGCAAATGGACAGGTAGTTCAAGAGCGGGGGGTGACGGTGTGTGAATGTACATACATATGTACATCTGTATATATGTTCCAGGCCGTGGACCCCCCCCCCCCCTCCCCCCCCCAACCCCCCTCCACCCCCCCTGTGGGGGTGGGGTGGGTGGGTGGTGGGGTGGTGGGGTGTGGGGTGGGTGGGTGGGGTTGGTGGGGTGGTGGGGTGGTTGGGTGGTTGGGCCAACCCCCCCCCCCCTGTGGGGGTGGGGTGGGTGGTGGGGTGGTGGGGTGGTGGGGTGGTGGGGTGGTGGGGTGGTTGGGTGGTTGGGTGGTTGGGTGGTTGGGTGGTTGGGGTGTGGTTCGGAGTTGGTTGAGGCTTGGTGGGTTAGGGTTGGTTCAGGGTTGGTTCAGGGTTGGTTCAGGGTTGGTTTGCGGTGGGTTTCGGGTGGGTTTGGGGTTTGGGTTGATTTAGGCTTAGGGTTGGGGTTAAGGAGGGGTTGCAGGGTGGTTTGGTTTAGGGTAGGATGTTGCGAGAGGTGCGGGGGTGTTGGTTCACGGGGTGACAGGGGGTCTGGGACCGAAGCTGCAGGGCTCGCACGGTACTGGACAGCATCCCCAGCATTGCCAGCATCATCCCCAAGATGCGGATAATGCGGGGGAGTGGGGGGGGGGGGGGGGTACGTGGCGCAGGGACTGGTACATATATATATATATATGTATATGCACATACATACACATACAGAAACTACCCCTAAGGACCCTGGGTCCCTTTATTAAATACTGCAAAATACACTGTTTTTGAGCATTACACCTACCTTAATTTACCTCCTGGAAAAAGGGTCAACATGAGCATAGCTGACATGAAGCTCACCAAAGCACTTGAAAGCTGTCAAACCAATAACTTGAAGGTGTTTCCACTGGATCGCCAAGCACTTGAAAGCATTCTACCGCTGGATGGAAGATTCAAGATGGAAGATTACACAGAAAACTTTCCTGAGAATTGTCAATCCTGGACAAACCCAAACGACATTCAAGTTCTTCTAACACTGGAAAGTGCTTCACCACTGGCTTGAGGATTCAATATTGAGGAGTGCAGAAACAACAACTTTCCCGAGAACCATCCATCCTGGTCAATCCCTGAAAATGTTCAAGTTGTTCTAACACCTCGAACGTATTGTACCACTGGATTGAAGATTCAACATTGAAATATGTCACGGAAAACTCTTCCGAGAATCTTATTGAACACCGAGAGTATTGAAACGGCCCTGGAATTTGTTTAAACCCAATTCCTGGATTCAAGATTCCCAGAACATATTCTCTCAGATTCTTGAATCTTGAATCCATATTTTTATTTTTTTACTTTTAAATTCTGGAGTTCAAGATTCAAGATTCAAGATTTCCAGAGAATAGTTTCTCAGATTCTTGAATCTTGAATCCAGGAAATATTCAAAGCTAGAAACAAAAATGAGTTGTTCTTGTACTCTTGGATGCATTCAAACTCTTTCAGATTCCAGATGCTGATGTCATTGCTTTTATCACATCTGTCTGCATGCATGCATACCGTATATGAATATGGCACCCCGCTAATTTTGACACAAGTCCAAGAAGCAAAAAAGAGGCATACAACACTGGAAAAGCACAGGTCAAACACACCAAACCAGGGTCCATGTGGGGGTACCTAATATATATATATATATGCATATATACATATGTGTATAATTATATAAATATTCCGGCGTACGTTTCCGCTTTGGGTAGTTTCATATGCCACCTTTTGCAGAGTTGATCTTGCCCATATGAGCCTTGGCAACACGGCATGTTCCCCCATAGCAGATTGCTAGGATTTGCCATACGGAACACCCTCGAAGTGGTTGGCGGTCATAAATCTCACATACATGATATCCACCGAATTGTCTAGCCAATTTGCCTTCATACATGTATGCCTATGTACAAGTTTGGGTGTGCGTTTGTCTTGAGGCTCCTCCTTTTCGAGATATTGAGAAGCCAAAAGGAAGGCGGGGGGTTCCCCCCTTCTGGGACAAAATCATTTAGCCGCTTGCAGTCCCTTTAGCAAGCGTACACGACTTTAAGTAGGTTATGGGCCAAGAGCCTCCAGACTTCGTTGCCATTGGGTTCGACTGACATATCCTTGTAGTTTTCTTTCAAATTCATGGCTCCTTTTCCCGCTAGCTGGCACGCTCCAGTGTCCTTCAATGAATTCTGAGATTAGCTACCAACAACATCCGATGACTGTGTGTTGCCATCTCAGCTTGGAAATTGTTGCAGCCTTCATAAAGAATGAAAGATCACTTTAAGCAGAACATGAACAAGTGCCTTGTGACCAGTTGGGTTGCAACCCCCTTTCAAAAAGAAGCCCAACAAACATGAATCATTCACTTCCAAATTCGGATGAGATTTGGACTTGGGGTTTTGATTTCTCCACTAGCAAACATGTTGATTCGCTGCCCGGGGTCGTTGCTCAACCAATTGCAAATGAAGACCTCTACAACCGGGTGGTGTCTTTTCAGTTGCTTGTTTGAAACCAGCAAAAAGGCATTTCCCTATTTTGAAACAGGCCCACAATTGTTTATGCTTCCTGGTTGTAGCGACACGGCGCGTATAAGTGAACTATATATATATATACAGATGATGTTGCTATTGTTTGTTGAAGGGGGTGGCCCTTTGGTATTGAATGTCTGGACCTTATCATATCTACCAAATGTGAAGCTCAAGCGCTTTGCTGTTTGCTTTGTTCACTTTGATCTCCTGCTTCGGCGGTTGGGGGTCCGGAGTTTAGAGTACAGACCCCTACTAATGGATTGCATTTGGAAGGAATCTCACCGGAAACCACTTGGGCTGTTTGCAAAATAGTAGCCTCTTAAACGGCAAAATGTATTGCCACATGACTCAGCCGCGTACGGAGTTGTGTTTGAGTTGGCCGGACCCTCTGGTAGGGTGCCCCCGTTTCGAAGATTGTTCAAAGCAAACCAAAAGGAAGCCACCTGTGCCGCGAAGTTCCCCCTTGAGCCCCCCAAATGACCTGTCCTCTCCTCCTCGGGCTCGCTCCAAGGCGCCGCTCGCTGCAGGGCTACGTGCGCTGCTTCCCACCAGGGGACTACTTCCGGTACAAGAAGTTGGCGCAGGCGGTGGTGTGGCGCCACGGACTTGCGAAAAGCGAAAAAGTGAGCTTTTCCTCTACGGAATCAGAGAACTTCCGAAAATGGTGGCGGTTTCCTTTTGCTTCCCCAATGCCAGCAAGGGATCCACATTTTGAGAAACTTTATAGCAAGGCAAACCTCCACCCAAAACAAGAGGGTGTTTCCCAAATGAGCCGGATTTGAAATAGGGGAACAAGCGGTTGTTTCTCAAAATGAACAGCAAACGGGACAGACAAGGGGGCTAAAGCGGATGTTCCCAGAATGGGCGCCTGACAAACGTGTTTGTTAACCGTGGTTCCCAAACAGAAATAGTGCACCCCTCCACTTGTGCAAGTCCTTCAGGAAAATTATCTTGCACGCAGGACGCAGAACGCCCCCAATGTCAACTTCGATTGATCAAAAGGAGGACCACACCCCCATTTAGTGCGCGCCGGGTACATAGTCACCTGCACGTTTTTGTGCATGTCCTCGGAGGTCATGCGCCCATTCTCACGCAGTTTGACAAGAATGCATGTTTCTGGGGTTGTGGGACATCCCGGTAACTAACTCATGCTAGCTGAGTCTCAGGTCGACATATGCAGTTTTGGACCAAGTCAGCACACATGGCACTTAGCGGATGTGCTTATCATGTGCCAGCGTGCGTGCAGCTCTGACGTGATGCGCGTGAGAGGGTGTGTGTTTATCTTGTGCCAGCGCGCGTGCGGCTCTGATGTGGTGCGAGTGAGAGGGTGTGCTTAGCATGCGCCAACTCGCGCGCAGCTCTGACGTGATGCGCGTGAGCAGCTGTGCTTATCATGTGCCAGCGTGCGTGCAGCTCCGCACGTGAGCAGGCGTGCTTATCATGTGTTAGCGTGCGTGCAGCTCTGACGTGACGCGCGTGAGCGGGTGTGTCTATCATGCGTCAACTAGCGCGCAGCTCTGACGTGATGTACGTGACAGGGAGTGCTTAATTATCACGTCCCAGCATGCGTGCAGCTCTGACGTGACGCGCGTGAGCGGGTGTGCTTATCAGGCGTCAATGAGCGTGCAGCTTTGACGTGATGCACGTGAGCGGGTGTGCTTGTCAGTTGTCAACGAGCGTGCAGCTTCGACGGGATGCACGTGACAGGGTGTGCCTATCATGCGCCAGTGTGTGTTCAGCTCGGACGTGACACGCGTGAGCGGGTGTGCTAGCGTGTGTTTAGCTCTGACGTGATGCGCCGATGCGCGTGAGCGAGCAGGTGTGCAGGGGTGGAAGCCACTCGGACATGCGGGTGGGTAAATACCCCCGGGTACCATTTAGTGGGCACCCCTCAGCTTCATATGATGCCCATCCAGCCTCACTTTTTGCAACACCAAGGGGGGTGGCGGGTGGCACGGTGATTCCCCAGGGTCGCGCGTGCAAGAAAACGCTGGAGGGGAACATAAGGACTCCTTCTATCGTTTCGGGGCTTCCATCAAACTCCAATGACGAAGAGTCGCTGGTGTTCCTTGACAAACGGGGGCCTTGCAAGAAGCAAACCTGCTCCTTTCGGCTTTCTGCCTTTCCACTCACCTCGCAGCTGAGAAAGGGAAACCAAAACGAACCATAAGTTCCTTTTGTTGGTTATGTTTACAGGAAGCCGAAAGGCACCAAGTCTTGCTAATTGCTTTGAGGGAAACCCAACAAAGTTGTTTTCGTCTGTTGCCCGGGAACTGAAAGGCATTGTTTTGTTGTTGCCTTTTAGGGGAGACAGAAATTGTCGTCTGGGCTATTTTGAAATTGGCCTTCGCCCATATTCTTGGGTTGTTTCTTGCTCCCCCCCAGAATTGACATCCCAACTTTTGGTTCACCGAGGGCAGAGGTGCTCTTTGAGCCAGACACCTCGGGCGCACAGAACCTAAGGCGCTCCTGCAGGCGAGAAGTGACGGGAGAGCGACAATTTTGGACCTCATGTTTTCAGGCATTCATGTTGGACATGGTTGGTAGCTTTCATATCGGAAGTTTTGTGAGGCAATGATACCCAAGGTGGAAATCATTATGTGGTTTCTCTTCCAAGAATGAGAGTGGTAACTACCGCAACGGCCCCAAAGACAGGCCCCCCCCCAAAAAAATAATAAAGTGTTCTTTCATGTGTTTGGGTTTTGCAAAAAGTCCAGCCCGGAGAAACAGAACATGTCGAAAACAAGCCAAGGGGTGGGATTAGTTGGTGAGCTCGACTATATCACAGCTGGATTTGGTTTGTGTCAGAAAGTCCGGGAGGAAGATCATTTCTTGCCGGTCCCTTGATTCAGACTTTATTACAATACAAGTTACCCCAGATGAGTAGACCCCAAGAAGTGTAGAACTCTTGGATAGAGGTACACCAAACTGTTGATGTGCCTAGTTTAGGAAACGCCCGTTACGCAAAAGCATGTCATGCCTTCAGTTATTTCAATCAGTACTTGGTACTTCGTACAGTCAAGAGTCCAGCTGACCCTTGAACCAATGGCTCAGTCCAAACAGAAAACAAAAACCTGAGAAACATACAAGACTGCCAAGATATCGGTCTTTGCATACATAGTCTTCCGTCGGTTTCGCCATTTGATAGATATCAGCTTTGGGGTAGCCCCCTCTCGGTAGGGAAGGATGATATAGGTATCGGTTTTGGGTAGTCCGCTATGGGCTTATATTGAGGGCATTCACCGTGTTCTAAAGTTTGGTGGGGGGAGAGAGACATTGAAAATAACCTTTAATTTCTTTCTGTGGGCCTGTACCCACGTTGGACGTGGGTCTCCCCCCCCGGCCGATTTCATTTTGCAATTCTGTTTGGGGCCGGTGGCCCTAAGCAGACCCAGGCTTTTGACTGCGGTTTTTGGGCCCTACGTCTGCTTTCGGCTAGGGCCGGCGGCTCTAAGCAGACCCAGCCCTTGTCGGTAGAAATGCGCAAGAGTTGGCCGGGTCTGCTGGCCCGTTGCTTTCCCAGAGCAGACCTAAGGCCAAAGGTCCGCTGCATGAAGGCAAGGTCCGCGTAGGGCCACCGGCCCAAAGCAGACTTCCCGCCCCTCTTCGAATGCACTAAGAGCAAGTGCGAAGCAAAGCAACTGCAAAGATCTCGGTCCTGCCGTTGTTTCCAGCACAAAAATGGTTTCGCAATAGCCACGGCTACGAGCGCACAGGCAAGTATGGCTCACATAATTGAAACCGATGTGAAACACACCAGAGGTTACGTTGACCCTGTATGAGCACTGCGCCTTCCAAGAATGCAAAGGGAACCATCTCCTTCCCCTTAGCACCGGGGCACAAATGGACTACGTCTTCCCACAAGCTTCCGTGGAATCGCGTGAGGGTAACTGAGGTGCCCAAATGGCCACACTGGCCGAGACTTCCACTTGTTTAGGCGATGTTATGTTTATTCTCTCGGTTCTAAGTAAAAATTGAATTGCTAGTAGATATGTTGATTGGCAGTAGCAGCTCATGCATGGCACTTGCTCGAATTGTTGGCGCTGTTTGGAGGCTGGGGCAAGCTCAGTTCAACGAGCAGACCTTGGTCCCCGAAATTAAAGGGCAACCCACAGAAGGTGTCTGAAATAGGCTGGTTGTTTCAACCCGTTCAAAGAAGGGAGGTAACAGCCCAACTCTGGGGGATTGGTTCCTTCTTGCTTTGTCCCACTTATTGCTTGCTGTTTCTTCATGTTTCGAGCTAGGGGGTTCCGTTCCTTAGATCTCCGAAAGGAAGCTAAGCTTAGAGGAAACTGCCCGTACCCAAAGAATCAAAAGCTGATGATGAACAAGGTTCTGACTAGATGCCCAACCAAAAACACCACCCCACCAAAGAGAAACTCAGTTTGCATTGGCAGCCAAAGGTGCAGTTTAAATTAAACCATGCAACAGAAGAATATGGGACCCCGATGTTTGGGTTCGGGCGTTCAGTTCCCCCTCCAGCCAGTCAGTGGTGCCCTTTGTTTTGTTCGGGGGAAGTGGCGTGGAAAGAGTGGTTTTTTGTTGGGCCTACCGGGCCTGGGTTGGTTGGTTGGTTGGTTGGTTGGTTGGTTGGTTGGTTGGTTGGTTGGTTGGTTGGTTGGTTGGTTGGCTGGCTGGTTGGCTGGCTGGCTGGCTGGCTGGCTGGCGGGGCGGGGCGGGCGGGCGGGCGGTCGGTCGGTCGGTCGGTGGGTGGGTGGGTAGGTGGGTGGTTGGGGGTTTGGGTGGGTGGGTGGGTGGGTGGGTGGGTTAGGGTTGGTGGGTTGGGGGCTTGGTTGGTTGGGTGGCTGATTGGCCGAACCCTGGCACAGCCTGGAGCGCACGAAAGGGCGGCATGTAAGTCTAGAGTCTACAATTAGGGGGGGCTACGGGTAGATTTCGGGTAGGTCAGGGTTTAGGGTAGGTTTGTGGTAAGCTTAGGGTCGGTTCAGGGTGGGTCCATGTGAGGCATGTTCGAGGTTCTGGAACCACCCTGAAGAACCTTGAACGTGCCTCACATGGAACCTTTACCTAATCTACCCTAAACCCACCCTGCACCCACCTGAAACACATCCAACACAGCCTAAACCAACCCTAAGCCGACCCAAATCCTACCCGAAGCCTGCCCTAAGCCCACCCTTGATCCACCCTTAACCGACCCTTAGCTTGCCACCAACCTACCCTAAACCTACCCTAGACCCACCCGAAACCTACCCGTAGCCCACCACTTAAATGCCGCTCTTTCGTGCGCGCCAGACTGTGGCTAATGCCAGGGCTACACACCTCAGCCGAAGAGGCGTACCTTTAAAACTTGCCTACCAAAGTAAGGGCTCTTCAGCACTCCCCTTCAAAAGGATAAGCATACTACTTACTATCGTGGTAGGAATCCAGGGAATCAACCGCTCATCAGACTCATCAGCCTCACAGAAAAGGATTTGCAACCAGTTTCCGCAACCAAGCAACGCAAGCTGCAAGGCAAAACCACACAAAAGAAGATGACAAGGCCCACATTCCTTTTCAGGGCCGGTGTGTTTAAGGGCGTCCCCACTTTGAATGGGATTCGCAACAGTTTTGCCACTGAAAGGTTGAATCATGTTTAGACCACCAAAATGTTAGACAGCCTTGCTTTGTTTGAACTATTTAGACTGCCTTGCTTTGTTTTATTTATGCCTTGCTTGCTTTTCGACCGCTTGACACAAGAAAGCTGTTTCTAGTCTCCATTTGACAGCATTTTAGGTACCCCTCAATTGGTGGTTTTGGATTGGTGGAGTGGGGGCTTGAACCCATTAGGTGTAAGAAGAGCATTGATAGCTCTTTTTTCCGCTGGCTCCTTCCGTCCGAGCGCGGCACGTGGAACGCCGCTAGGCTTGCGGCTGGCACGTTGGCGCTGCTGCTTTGCGTGAACCTCTTCGCTTGGAACGGGGCGCCACGCCCGGGCTCGAGGGGGAAATCGCTGGATTCTCTGGGCGCGGGTGTCGGACAACCAGAATGGAACAAAGCAAAAGGCAACATTCTGGGGAATAAGCACTTTCAGACGTCCTCCTTAGTCTACAGGGAACCCTTCTTAAGGAGACGATCCATCAGTCGAAACCACCTGAAAAGGGAACTCCCTTCCCGGGTGGATGAAGCAATGTCTAGACTTGTGGACTTGTTGTTTACCAAGAACTGATCTTGCCAAAGAGTTTGAAGTCCAGAAACTGGGAAATGAACAATTTGCCAGACCTCTGGGAACCCCAGCAAGCAGTCAAGCAAACGGCAATGCACAATAAAACACGCATGTAACTATGAACCAGCTCTCCTGACAACACAACCTGCTATGGTTCTGACAAAAACCCAGCAGCCCACTGAACCTTGTTGTACTCGGGTGTGTGTGTGTGTGTTTTCATAGGGCAACCATGGGCTTGGTGCCCCCTTGTTTGCTCGTCATACCCAGCCCAAGAAGTGTACTAAATCCTCAATTTGGACACCCAGTTGGTTGTCCTCACAATTTGGAGTAAGGCATCAGGTAGTTTGTATCAGGCGCGACAATCTGGCAGCCGTGACCGGGACATCCCTCACCTAAAATGGACCCCGGATTGATTTGATTGATTGATTGATTGATTCATTCATTCATTCATTCATTCATTCATTCATTCATTCATTCATTCATTCATTGATTCATTCATTGATTCATTGATTCACTGATTCGTTGATTCATTGGACTGGACTCGACTGGACTGGACTGGACTGACTTGACTTGACTTGACTTGACTTGACTTGACTTGACTTGACTTGACTTTGCTTGCTTGCTTGATTGCTTACTTGATTGGTTGATTTGATTGATTGATTGATCGAATGATTGATTGATGGATTGGATTGGATTGGATTGGATTGGATTGGATTGGATTGGATTGGATTGGATTGGATGGATCGATCGATCGATTGATTGATTAGCTATGTAATAAATGTTTTGTCTAGTTCATTAGTCAAATATTTGTTCAATATTCGTTCACGAGTTGATTCGCTAGTCAGCTAGCTAATTTGTTGGTTTTTTGATCAAACTGGCAGGTTGGGAAATCCCTTGCAAAAATGATTCCCGACATTTGCACTTGGTCAGGCTTTCTTAACTTTAGGCTCAAGGCATGCAACGCCGCACATTGTGCAGGATTCAGAGGGGCCGGTCCAGAGGATGGGGTAGACTGAGTTCAAAAAGCATGCTGCATTTGACAGGTGACTGAAGGTATACAAGTAAGGTCCGGCAGAGCCGGGGGGCGGAAGTTTCAAAGCAGTGAACAACTATAGTTTGGAGAACTGTCCTTGGCCCCTTGCTCTCTCTCTCTCTCTCTCTCTCTCTCTTTTTCTCTCTTTCTCTCTTTCTCTCTTTCTCTCTTTCTCTTTCTCTTTCTGTTTCTCTGTCTCTTTCTCTCTCTTTCTATCTATCTCTCTAGCTATCTCTATATCTGTTTATTGATCTATCTATCTACCCATCTTTCTCTGCACTTAAAAGTTGCGATGTTCAATCCCCGAAAGTTGACTTCGCGTACTACTTTCGTACTTAAAAGTTGCGATTTTCGAGCCCCAGCTGCGAAACTGGACTTCACGTACTACTTTCGTAGTTAAAAGTTGCGATTTTCGAGCCCCAGCTACGAAAGTGGACTTCGCGTACTACTTTCGTACTAAAAAGTCGCGATTTTCGAGCCCCAGCTGCGAAAGTGGACTTTGCGTACTACTTTCGTACTTAAAAGTTGCGATTTTCAAGCCCCGGCTGCGAAAGTGGACTTTGCGCACTACTTTCGTACTTAAAAGTTGCGATTTTCAAGCCCCAGCTGCGAAAGTTGACTTCGCGTACTACTTTCGTACTTAAAAGTTGCGATTTTCGAGCCCCGGCTGCGAAAGTTGACCTTGCAAAAATGCTGCGCCTGCCACCAAATCTGTGCTTGACCTTGCTAAAGTGCTGCGCCTGCCACAAAATCTGTACTTGACCTTGCGAAAGTGCTGCGCGTGCCACGAATTTTGCACTTGACCTTGCGAAAGTGCTGCACCTGCCACAAATTCTGTACTTGACCTTGCGAAAGTGATGCGCCTGCCACGAATTTTGTACTTGACCTTGCGAAAGTGCTGCGCCTGCCACGAATTTGGCACTTGACCTTGCGAAAGTGCTGCGCCTGCCACGAAATCTATACTTGACCTTGCGAAAGTGCTGCGCCTGCCACGCAATTCAAACCTTGCGAAACCTTCGCGCGGCCGTGCCAATGGGCCCGTCTCCGAACCCGTTCCGAACCCGTTCCGAGACCGTTCCGAGACCGTTCCGAGACCGCCTCCGTACAGGCGTCGCAGCCGAGGTGGTTTGCGCACAGTCCGGAAGCCCAATTCACGCACAGCGCCAACGTTTTCTGCATCTTGCCATCCCCCAGCTCGCAGAGAGTGCTTGCGAAAGTGCTGCGCCTGCCACGAAATCGATACTTGACCTTGCGAAAGTGCTGCGCCTGCCACGAAATCTATACTTGACCTTGCGAAAGTGCTGCGCCTGCCACGCAATTCAAACCTTGCGAAACCTTCGCGCGGCCGTGCCAATGGGCCCGTCTCCGAGACCGTTCCGAGACCGCCTCCGTACAGGCGTCGCAGCCGAGGTGGTTTGCGCACAGTCCGGAAGCCCAATTCACGCACAGCGCCAACGTTTTCTGCATCTTGCCATCCCCCAGCTCGCAGAGAGTGTTGCGAAAGTGCTGCGCCTGCCACGAAATCATACTTGCCGAAAGTGCTGCCCTGCCACGCTTGACCTTGCGAAAGTGCTGCGCCTGCCACGCACCTTGCGAAACCTTCGCGCGGCCGTGCCAAAGAACCTGCGTACAGGCGTCGCAGCCGAGGTGGTTTGCGCACAGTCCGCCCAATTACGTTTTCTGCACCATTGCAGAAGTCTTGCTGCTGCCTGCCACGCCTTGACCTTGCGAAAGTGCTGCGCCTGCCACGAAATCTATACTTGACCTTGCGAAAGTGCTGCGCCTGCCACGCAATTCAAACCTTGCGAAACCTTCGCGCGGCCGTGCCAATGGGCCCGTCTCCGAGACCGTTCCGAGACCGCCTCCGTACAGGCGTCGCAGCCGAGGTGGTTTGCGCACAGTCCGGAAGCCCAATTCACGCACAGCGCCAACGTTTTCTGCATCTTGCCATCCCCCAGCTCGCAGAGAGTGCTTGCGAAAGTGCTGCGCCTGCCACGAAATCGATACTTGACCTTGCGAAAGTGCTGCGCCTGCCACGAAATCTATACTTGACCTTGCGAAAGTGCTGCGCCTGCCACGCAATTCAAACCTTGCGAAACCTTCGCGCGGCCGTGCCAATGGGCCCGTCGTTCCGAGACCGTTCCGAGACCGCCTCCGTACAGGCGTCGCAGCCGAGGTGGTTTGCGCACAGTCCGGAAGCCCAATTCACGCACAGCGCCAACGTTTTCTGCATCTTGCCATCCCCCAGCTCGCAGAGAGTGGACGCAGCACCTTGCGAAAGTGCTGCGCCTGCCACGAAATCGATACTTGACCTTGCGAAAGTGCTGCGCCTGCCACGAAATCTATACTTGACCTTGCGAAAGTGCTGCGCCTGCCACGCAATTCAAACCTTGCGAAACCTTCGCGCGGCCGTGCCAATGGGCCCGTCTCCGAGACCGTTCCGAGACCGCCTCCGTACAGGCGTCGCAGCCGAGGTGGTTTGCGCACAGTCCGGAAGCCCAATTCACGCACAGCGCCAACGTTTTCTGCATCTTGCCATCCCCCAGCTCGCAGAGAGTGGACGCAGCACCTTGCGAAAGTGCTGCGCCTGCCACGAAATCGATACTTGACCTTGCGAAAGTGCTGCGCCTGCCACGAAATCTATACTTGACCTTGCGAAAGTGCTGCGCCTGCCACGCAATTCAAACCTTGCGAAACCTTCGCGCGGCCGTGCCAATGGGCCCGTCTCCGAACCCGTTCCGAGACCGTTCCGAGACCGTTCCGAGACCGCCTCCGTACAGGCGTCGCAGCCGAGGTGGTTTGCGCATTGTCCGGAAGCCCAATTCACGCACAGCGCCAACGTTTTCTGCATCTTGCCATCCCCCAGCTCGCAGAGAGTGCTTGCGAAAGTGCTGCGCCTGCCACGAAATCTATACTTGAGAAAGCTATCTACGTGTTAAGCTGGCTATATGTCAAAGCTATCTATCTGTCATGCAAGCCTATTGGAAAGCTATCTATCTGTCAAGCTAGCTATATGTCAAAGCTATCTATTTGTCATGTCAAAGCTATCTATTTGTCATGCAAGCCTATTGGAAAGCTATCTATCTGTCAAGCTAGCTATATGTCAAAGCTATCTATTTGTCATGCAAGCCTATTGGAAAGCTATCTACCTGTCAAGCTAGCTATATGTCAAAGCTATCTATTTGTCATGCAAGCCTATTGGAAAGCTATCTATCTGTCAAGCTAGCTATATGTCAAAGCTATCTATTTGTCATGCTAGCTACCTGTCATAGCTATATGTCAAAGCAGCTAGCTCATTTAGTTCCAGTACTACGGAAGTTTCTTGTTAAACTTCCTTTGATTACATATATAGCGATTCTCAAAAGCACAGCTGACAGCAACTTATGAAGTTTAGGCGGTTGAGAAAAGGCAACCACGACAACACCGCAGCAGCAGAAAAAGACCTGTCCGGTCGGGAGGTGCGACAGCTGCTCGAACACGGCCCTGGTGGGGCGCACTTCGCGGACCTCAGGGAGTCGCTCGCCGCCAAAGAGGAGAGCCGAAAGGGGTCTGAGTTGTTGAGGATACCCTTTTTGGCAAAACCAACAGGAAAGTCATAGGAAACACCATCGGTAAAACTTTTTTTTATAAAGTTTTCGAATGTTCAACCGAAGGGAAACTGCCTTTTTTGTTGGGGGGCCCCCTTGTTTTAGGGTGCTCCTGCTTTGTAAGGGTGCTTCCAATATTTGTGTGGGTCTCAACAATGAAGATGAATAAAGGCTCTGATTTGGGTAATCTCGGTCAATTGGGCAGGCTTTCAAAAGGAAGTAAAGGGAAGCAAGTTTGTTGAACACATAGTGACAGAGAGGTTGAACCTAGGGCGTCCAGTAGTGGATACCAGAATTAGCCGACATATTCACGACCGCATATTTTGTTGCGTTTCTTCTGGATGAAGGTGCATGGAACCACAACAGACCTCATATGGTAGAGGAGGTTGACCTACCCTGGTTCTAAGGGCTCTGGTTCAACGCTGCGAACCGATTGAAGAAGGGGCGAGGGCCGCAAGCTGAGCATATCAGATCCTACTAGGCCTGATTACGCCAAGCATAAGGTTCCAGTCATCCACATTTAGCGGGGAGCGGCGGGCCTTTGAGGGTACCCTTGACAACCGTTTAGGATTCATCGAAGGGGGGGTGCAAGTTGTTTTTTCTCAAACCAACAGACGTTGAGGAAACCATTGTACGTTTGAGAGCCCATGATTTTATTCCCAGAAACTAGTTATGAATTCGCTTTTGTGCATATACCCATGTGATGACCAGATTTGCTCAACAACTGAGGAATATTTTGTTTAAACCGCGTGAATCCGTACTTTGGATGGACCAATTCCTACACCAGTCAGCACGCATCAAAGAATAGGAATTCCGCTTGCCAACTGGTGCAGGGTTTTGTCTACCAAAGTATCGGGTCCGAGTAAACCTGGTGGAGTGCCAGCCGGATTGGTCCGAAGCCACCGAGGGCCCAGGGCTCCCAATATCGCCTTACGTGAATGGGGTCGCAAATCGGGGTCAGGGTCCGTATTCCATGTTCCCTGTAAACATCACCCAAGGGACACTTGCTTTGAAATGGCAACCAAAAGGTGATGTTTAATGTACCCAAGGGCATGTAAGGAACTAGCGCGCAAGAGCTGCCAACCCCTAGGTACCCTACTACTCTAACTGCTCGGCTGTTCTTGGCTATGGGATGCCTTATGCATTGTGAAATTACGTGTGCTGTCAATCTTGACCAAAACGCAGATTGGGAAAGTGGGAAGGATATATAGTAAAGGCAGTAAGACCTAGGGTACCTAACGTGGCGGTACATGGCTGATTTTAGAGAAGCCTGCAAGGAGGTTACCGTCATGGTTTCCGAAACCAGGCACATTGAGCGGTGTTGGCCATGTTGGGTGGAAACTCCAGAGGATTATTAGGCATTCAGCAGAATGTCCCTCAAGGGGCGTTGTCAAGGCATTCCGATGTTTGCCATTCCGAGAAAATTTGAGGATCATGTCGATGTGTCAATCCTGGCTGATCAGCTTGATCAGATGAATGCTTCGGGAGTGGCAACTTTGTTTGTAAAAGTAGTGTATTTAATGTGTGGTGAACAAATTCATAGGGATATTTATCGGAGTAGCGACTACAGCATACAGCATACATGTTACTCAATTCAGAGAAGCAAAAGCAAGCAATGCTCTATTTGTGTTTGAGTGTGCGCCCAAACAGGGCCCCCCCTCCACGCCCCTTCTGTTGTTCAGGTGCCCTTAAACGAGTTCTAACAAACGAGTTCCAGCTTGCACCAAGGGAAAGTGATATGTGATGCATCCTACAACCCATTTATCAGGACGCATTTAGGGTCACACAAGATATGTGTCTCTTTCTTTGCTGCTGTTCTATGGGAGAGCCTCCGGCGTTGGAGGCTCTGGGCGCGCTGGAGCTCGCGGTGAAGCTGCCATGGGCGGAGCAAAACGCGGCAGAGCCCTGGCCTTTCTTTGCGCGCCTGGGACTTCGTCAGGTTCCGATCGCTTGCACAGTCCGAAAGGAGCCCATTTGTTAGAACCTGTTTAGGGTCATCCAAACCAGATCCATGTTAGCTTTGTCCCTGCCCAGTGTACTGCGGTCAGTATTTATTGACAGTTTCGCGTGGGAGGTGGTATCAAAGTCAAAAACTACGGGTTGTTTGCCTTTCACCTGCCGCTTCGGGGGTGACTCTGATAAATGGTAGAATACTGCGGCCAATACGAGGTCCCTGAATGTGGTTGCGAGTTGAGTTCTCAAGGTTCCAATTGAGGGTTTGCCTTTAAGCTCCTACCTCGGGGCGTTCATGGGAGAGTGGGGGTTGGTGTTTGGCATGATGACGGGTGTTGGGTCACCGAATGCTTCAACATGTTTAACAATTGTTTAAAGAACCTCCTCTTGGTTTCCCTTTCACGGAGATTGGGGGTGTGCTTGTTTTATCCATTTGTTTTACGCAACCCTAGCAGACTTACTTCCCCGGCAAGAATTCTGTCACGCATGATGAAGCTCCCTTAGTTTGTATCAGCATATTTCATGATTTGTTCGCCCCTTTGTGCCCCGCTCTTGTTCCCCCATGGCCATTGTATGGCCATTGTATGTGTTCCCCACGACTTTGAGACCCAGTCTTATGCTTTTCTGGGGGCTTTTCCAGAGGAGTGGAAAAGCAGGTATTTCATCCAAAGTACAGTCAGTGGCTGACAGGTCCATTCTCCACCGAGAAAACAGGTCACGTTTGGAACCCCTACTAGCCATACCCCTATCCTAGGTTGAAGTCTACCTTGGAATCCTCAACACGGCAACTTCAATCCTGGCAAGCTGAGTTCTGTGTCGCGGGAAGCCTCAACAGGCTGCTGGCCATCCTGTCGGAGCGCCTCGCCTCGACGAGTACGAGCTCAACGGCCTCGAGGAGCCTCGCGCCGCTGGAGGCGTTGTGGAAAGCTTGGCTGGAGTCAGGCAGGGCATTCTGAACGGTTTGAGCGTGGTAATGGACCCCTAGGAGCTGACGACCACTACAAGGATTCCTTGTCTGGAAAGCCTGGGATGTCCAAAGGTCTAGAATATGTTTTCCGCCATAGGAGAAGTGGTGTTGGAACGTAGCCTACTTGGTTTTTCTTCTTCGGGGCCCCTTGGCCATTGGTGAGCGTATTTCCCTTCAGTGGGCTGAGCCAGGCAAGAAACGCCTGCGAATGCATGAATCAAATGTGAGCCCCTGAACCATCAGTTTGTTTGTTGGCATAGGTTTGTCACCTGGTGCCAGGCAACTGGTCCCTGCCCGGCGAGGCAAAGGCGGAGGCGGAGGTACAAGGCCTGGCCGAGAGGTTCAGCAGTAAGGGCAATTCACCAAACAAAACGGGGAAAGGTGCCGTTGAAAAACAAGAGCGCTCTTCATACGTACTCAACTCTGTGAACGGGGTGGATCAAGGCCAGAAGCCCCAGAAGTGTTATATATATATATACATCCCCACCTATTCGGAGGCATACCAATCCTTTGAACAAGGATCGCATAAGCACTAACCTATATTAAGGTTTAGGATTGGTGAATTTGTCAATCTTAGTTTCTGAATTTATTGAGCAGGATTTATGCCTTCTCGATTCGGCACAAGGACGTGCCGTGCAGTGATTTGCTCAAGGGGTGAGGTGCCCTTGCAGATTCTACTCGGCCATGATACAAGGCTCTCACTGTACTGGAGTTGAGGGAGGGACCCAATGGATTGCAGAATCAAACTACACAATATAGAATCTCTTTTGACATGGTGTGCAATTGTAACATTCGCTAATAATATGAGTTCTTCGTTGGGGGGAGAAAACTGAGGTAGATTAGATATAGTTGGGGAAAAAGTTGGGAGGAGGGTTTTCCTTTTGTAGATAGAGGGCAACACCCAATGCGGTAGAACGACCCCTTTGGGTTGCCCGTCGTTGTGGGAAATATGGATCTTTGTTCTGTCATCCCCCTGTGCAAATCCCTGTCAAGTGACCAACGTTGTCATAGACATGGGAACGTCATGGCAGTAGCAGTATCAGGGACAGCGGTCCGCCTGTTTGACGCAATGGCTGAAACCACCTCAGTACGCCGACTGCCCCTTCAGGTTGAAGCTGAAACAACATTGTTTATTCAAGCAGATGTGAACAAACAGCTGGTTGGGATCGATTTGTAGTGGGTCCACTCCAAATAACTGCAATAGTTCAACCGAACAGCTTCTCCACAACCTAATGAAAGACTAGTATATAAATAATCTCTGTCAAACGCATAGGACTGAACTTGTCGGTAGCACGAAGGGGCAAGATTGCCTCCACCGTCAAAGCATGCTTCAACCATGTGTTTTAACCACCATTTTCTCCTGTGGTGCAACCAAGCAGTTTTTCCATCGCCTTCCCCGTTTTCGGCCTCCGTGTTCGGCTCAGGAGTCGACTGCGATGCGGTGACCGCCATGGGCGCCGTGACCTCTGCGCTCGCTGCGCTGCCGGAGCCGAGTCTGCAGAGTTCGGCGCTGCCTTTGGCCTGGGCCCTTTGGCGGAAGAGGGCGAGCTGGGCGTGCTAGGCGTCAGGGCGTGTTTCTTAAACAGATCTTTAGAGAGGAAAACGCTGGGGTGATTTTGAAATGTTTTGCTTTTGGAAATGGTCCATTGCATCGGAAAGAGAGGCGGGTGGCGTAGGAGAGGGTCCTGAGTGTGTTTTGCAGGCCTGGAGCATCGCAAACCGCTAGGAAAGAAAGAGGACGATGCCTCTAGAAGCCATGAAGACACAACTCAGGATCAAGGGGACCTCCGCTGCTGAGCGAAGAATGGATGCAACCAGCAATTGTTGCACACCCAAGGTCTCGGAGTTCAAAAGTTACGGGGCTCAAACCGACAGCCAACCGATTGCCAACTCAGCCGCCAAACCCAGCTGACTGCTCAGCGGCTTTGACTTCCAATATGTACTGGCACTTTGTAGACTGCATAAGGTTACACAGGTTGTTCACGTTCTTTTTGTTCCCCAGATGTTTCAAGGGCAAGGTCCTTTTTGAGTCAGGGTTAACAACCCAACAAAACTGGGCGTGTTTGGACTAGCAGGTCGTTTTGAAGCACGAAGACATACGAAAAACTATGTCCCGTACCTCAGTACATCAGGTGCGATTACCATACGGCTGTTTATCCACCTAGCATGTTTTACTGGAGGGTTCCCGATTCAACATCATAGCCATTTGGTGAGTCTGACTTATGGGTTTGAGGAAGTAACATTCTCAAGATTTGGTCCACGTGGCTGACACGGCGAACAGAAATTATTTGTCCGGCAGCCTGCATCATACGCAAGTTTGTCCATGTAAGCTCGCCGTTGAAATGGTAGGCTTAGAAAAGGAACCTCAAGGCTTCCCAGACCTATCTATTTTCAACCAGGCTGACCTGTATCACTGCATCGTGAGAGGGGTCAAACCCAGGTCGAATTCACCCCTTGGGCCCACTTTTCAGGGGAAAGCAAACGGGATTTCTGGGCCTGCTTTCGGAATCTCCTATCTAACTCCCAAATCCTTTACAAGTTTCAACAATCACGCCTACCACATCCTACAACAGGTTTTGAAGCATCTTTTCAAAGTGGTTTCCCTAAAAAAGGGTGCAAGCACGTTTCAACAAGCTCCCCCAACATAGCACCTTCGCGTGATTTGGATCTCCAAACTGGAATCGGACTCGGCTCCGACGTGAGCCTTGCAAACGGCGCAGCTCAGCCGAGGAGGGCCTAGCGCGGCCGATCTCAGAGGTGCCTCGGAAAGCTTTGGCCACGGCGCAGGCGCAGGTGCTGCGGTGCCGCCAGGCGTCGCGTCGCGGCGGGAGTCCCCATTGTTTGTGGAGTCACTGAAAGGAAACCAAGAGATCTCTCCAGAATTTCCTTTGGCGTCTAACGCCACAATTGGGTGCTTCCGAAAAGGGAATTGGAGCCTCGCATGTTGGTTTCCCTTTGAAGCCAACCGAAAGAAGCCTCACATGTACGTTTCCCTTTTGTGCCAGTTGTGACGACTTCACATACGGTTTTGGTTTCCCATCTCATCCATTCTGAAGGCTTCTCTGTTTGGGTTTCCCTTGAAAAACCATCCCGAAGGCATTCCCCTATTCTGAGACAGACCCACCAAAACACATGAATCGGGTCGCTTGTTACCGGGGTCCCTCGGTTTCCCTTTGGACCAAAGGTGGCACGTCCCTTTGAACCTTCCAGTTCCCGAGACCCGAATGGAAAGCAAAGTGGCCTTGGAAGCGCAGCGATTCAGCAATATGCGCCTTGGATTGCAGCTGACCGACTTAAAGTTGTTGCGGTTCATAGTCTCGCGGTTGGTGTTCTGTTGACCGCGCTACCCGCTCGGCGTACACGGGAAGTTGTTTTGTCTGCTCTCGTTTGTTGGGGCTTACACGTCTTGACAAATCCTCACAACGCTCAGTGTTTGACATGTGGTCTTCAATGAGCTCCCCATTCTCCCCCAAAACACCTGGCAAACCCCTGAAAGGTGTAATTTTCTCTCAGAGAAACCGACTCCCATTGGCTTCAGAACAAACTTGCGGCCAAAATAAGGTCTTGACCGTTGGGTCTTCGATGGAGGGCTGGGCCAGGGGACATGTTCAACGGGCTCTAACACACAGGTTGCAATCGCTTGCACCAAAGACGATCATGCAGCATCTGCTGGAACCCATGGGTCAAATAAGCTCCCTGACTAGCCTATGCGTAGGCCTCAGATTCTTGGCATCGCCTGCTGTCACCCTCCTGGGGCACCTTCTGGCGAGGCGCTGGCCTTTCGGTTCTTTGCGGCCCCCCGGGTCGGACGCGAACCTTTCTGCTATAGTTTTGGCTGCGGAGAACCATATTTTCCAACTAGGTTTTGTTTAGAAACCGAGGATTGGGGATGCCAGGATGCCAACTGAAATGCACCAACTCAAACTAGAAGGTTGGGGAGGACAACTAAGATAATTTGGGCGGAATCACAAAATGCCTCGATAGTAACCCTGTTACACGGGTCTGCAGGCTACCGATGCAATGGTGTCGATTGGTCATTGCTAGTGGCTTGGGAGGGATTGCTGTAAACGGGCATCATGGGTGAAGGGCAGCCTTTGCAAAGGGCACTCCTGTCATTGGCCAAGGTATTCTATTTTGGCTAGGAAGGTCAAGTCCGTTGCCTATGACTCTTCACTTGGAGACTTCAGTGGCAGTGGGAATTAGAGTCAGAGGTTGGCAGGTCACATGGTGTTCTGCGTGACACATTTGTTGCCTGCGAAAATGCAGGGACCCCTTCTGCAGCATGGTCAAGCATCACAGCACCTTGGACCCAGAGAGTCGGACGCCGCAATGGACATTCTAACATATCCCGAAGAAGTAAAAATGGTCTTGCCACAAGGTGAGGTTCGCAACCATTGAACACTGATGTCGTGCAGAAATCAAGGGCTGCGGTGAACATGCAACCAACCACCTGGAACCTGGAGCGCCTCTTCATTTTCACACACAACTCTACACCATCGGAGCAACTGACAGCATGATCATTGGTAGTCCACTCGACAAGTCACATCTGAATCTAGCTAGGTCCAAGGTACTTCCAAAATGTCCCACCTGGTCATGCAAGGCATGGAGAGCAATCATTCTGTTTACATGTTGGTAAAGGTCACGGGTAGTATTGCTCCATATTTTCCTTATGTATTGTTCTGAATAATACACCATCTTGCAAAATGAGGTTGTCCATCCCTTGAGCATCAGATTGCTTTCCTTTGTTAATTGTGTTCTTTTGGGTTGCGGTGCGTCTACCTGAATTCCTGACTATAAACTAGGGGCCCAGTAAGCAGTTCCATCTCCTTTTGAGGAACTAATACTACTCATTTTCATCCACAATTGGTGGTTCTTGGTGGTTTGGGGGTTTCACCCCCCCCCCAACCCCCCAAGCTCTTTCAACAAATTGAAAGGCCCCCCCGACCACCGAACCGCAAAATGGCTGCTACCTACTCAAATCAACATCTTGTGCGGGTACTAAAGGCCTCATCCTAAACATGGCCGGGGTATTTGTGACTTTTATTGGATGCTTGGGCAGGCCTAGACCGGCTGTCAGCAGCACGGGATGTGATGGTGTCCCTACAGCTGCAGCTGGATGACAGGCCCGGCGTGGTCTCACAAAAGGATTTGGGGGGCTGGTCCTTTGACTTGTTCGGTATTTCACTTTTTCAAAGATAGCCACTCTCAAAGAGTTTGACTTGCTGGGGGCTAAAGACCAAGCCAATCAAGATTCAAAGGTATATTGGTCAGTTGTTTAGACCACCTTCGAAGACCACAGTTTTTAGTCTTAAAGTCCGATTGAGATTTGTTCGAACAACTAACACTGCCTTGTTGAACAATCAGACCTGAACATTGCCTTCCACCGATTATAGTCGGGCCCTCCAAGATATGCCAAACTTGCCCAGCAAACCG